ACCCTGCTGAGGCTTTCTCAGTACATGGGTACCCTGCTGAGGCTTTCTCAGTACATGGGTACCGTGAACTCAGTACTTTCTCTAGGGACGCTTTCTTTTAAGTTCATTGAGTTTCTTTTCTGCTGCTGTCTTTGCTTCTTGTGCTTTTTGTTCTGCTATTCTTTGAAGTGTAGCGAGTTCTAGAAGATAAAGAAATCATTGAATTTAAATTGAACATAATGCATAATGGTTTTACCTTCATTATCAATTCGATCTTGATCTAGACGAATTATCCCCAATTGTTTAGCAAGTTCAGTTGTAAATGTTGTCTTCATACCCATACTTAATTCACCAATTTTTATTGCCAATTGATGATCCATATTTGTTTCATCTGTCATTATTGGCCTACAAAAACTAGAAATTCGGTAATTTTCTTTGAGTAAATCGAACACAATGGTAGGGAAAGAAGAATTATTTTCTATTCAATTTCGATTTCTAGTAGCAATAGCAAGATAATTCTTATGAATATGTTGTAAATGAATTTGGATTTGGAAAAGCTTCTTTCTTTTTGTAATTTTCCCTAAAAAATATCTTTCAAATATAAAATTAGAAGCATTTTTATAACGGTGAGAGTTTAGTGTTGTTTTCTTTTCTATGAGTATAAATTTTCACTATAATTTTTCTAATAACGGGAACATACCCACAATAAATCCTGGGTCAAGAATTCAATAGTTAGTAGATATATAGTTGTTTTTACTATTGACTAAATATTTTCAATGTATTTTCTTTTTTCATTTCGTGGACATGGAAATTTCGAATGATTAATGAAATTTACAGAAAAACCTTTTTTTTTCTTTTCTAGTATTTATTTGTAGACGAACATGGATGTTGCATGAGTGCTTTCAAAAAACAAGTGGGTAGTCCACTACATTCTCCTTTTATAATTATGATATTAAAATGTAATTAATTGTTGTAAGTATTAATGAAATTAGAAGTTAAATTTCTCATCTAAATACTATAATCGATGGTTTATATTGTAGAATTATTCTCGTTGAATTTTCGATTAGACTTTTCTATGCGACAACATAAAGAGTCTCGGAAAAAGATTAAAGTGTTTTTATTTATGGAGTTTAATCTCATTTGACTATATAAACTATTTTGAAAATTAATAAATTCATAGGATTTCTAAAACTTTATTCCTATTATAAATTTATTTCTAAAAGAAATTTTTTCTACTTTTTCACTGATTTGAAATCCAATTGAATTTATATGAATAAGAAAAAAAAGAACCTTTTGGTTTTTTAAAATTGTTTCGCAGATTTCAAACTCAACTGAAATTCCCAGGTCAATTGTGCTAAATATTGACGAAACACTCAACGAAAAGTGCCCCTCATGAGATGAAAAAAATTCTTTGTAGTGTAGATCAAATACTAAAATTATAATTACTTGAAAACTTCGTCTTCTTTTCGTGTATATCCTTGTATTGTTTGTTCGACAATATCCAATGGTCCTAAGTAATAATTGGACCTAAAAAAAATCTAATTCCATATAAACTTTTATTCATAGTTGATAGGATATTTTAATATAAAAATTAATTACAAAAATTTTTATATTTCGAATAATATGCTATGCAGTGTTTTAGTCATCTAGGAGGCATTGCACGTAAGTCACGACCATTTCCTGACAACCTTGCGCAATCGATCTCACCAATTTGGCTGATATTTTCATAGTAGGTAGGCCTAACATATTTAGGAAGAAACCCAAAATTTCGGCTCAAATGGATAAGCCAGTCTGAAGATATAGTGGACACAACTATTGGGGGGTGGGTCATTTTTGGTGCATTTTGTAGTGCAATACTTTTCAGTAGATTTGCATTTTCTCAACAACGATAAGAGCTATAACAGAGATTTTT